ATAGCATTGCATATAAACCTTAATAAAGCATTGCATATAAACCTTAATACAGCATTGCATACACACCTTAATACAGCATTGCATTCACACCTTAATACAGCATTGCATATAAACCTTAATACAGAATTGCATACACACCTTAATACAGCATTGCATACACACCTTAATACAGTATTGCATACACACCTTAATACAGCATTGCATACACACCTTAATAAAGCATTGAATATAAACCTTAATACAGTATTACATATACATATTGAGACAGTATTGCATACACACCTTAATACAGCATTGCATATAAACCTTAATACAACATTGCATATAAACCGTAATAAAGCATTGCAAATAAACCTTAATACAGCATTGCATATAAACCTTAATACAGCATTGCATATAAACATTAATACAGCATTGCATACACACCATAATACAGCATTGCATATACCCCTTAATACAGCATTGCATAAAAACTTAATACAGCATTGCATATAAACCTTAATACAGCATTGTATATAAACCTTAATACAGCATTGCATATAAACCTTAATACAGCATTGCATACACACCATAATACAGCATTGCATATACACCTTAATACAGCATTGCATAAAAACCTTAATACAGCATTGCATATAAACCTTAATACAGCGTTGCATACACAACTTAATAAGTATTGAATATAAACCTTAATACAGAATTGCATATACACTTTAATACAGTATTGCATATAAACCTTAATACAGCATTGAATATAAACCTTAAGACAGCATTGCATTCATACCTTAATACAGCATTGCATATACACTTTAATACAGCATTGCATATAAACCTTAATACAGAATTGCATACACACCTTAATACAGCATTGCATACACACCTTAATACAGTATTGCATACACACCATAATACAGCATTGCATAAAACCTTAATACTGTTAACAGTATTGCATACACACCTTAATACAGCATTGAATATAAACCTTAATACAGTATTACATATACATATTGAGAGAGTATTGCATAAACACCTTAATACAGCATTGCATAAAACCTTAATACAGCATTGCATATAAACCTTAAGACAGCATTGCATATAAACCTTAATACAGCATTGCATATAAACCTTAATATAGCATTGCATATAAACCTTAATACAGCATTGCATATACATCTTAATATAGCATTGCATATAAACCTTAATACAGCATTGCATATAAACCTTAATACAGCATTGCATACACACCATAATACAGCATTGCATATACACCTTAATACAGCATTGCATATAAACCTTAATACAGCATTGCATATCAACCTTAATACAACATTGCATATACACCATAATAAAGCATTGCATATAAACCTTAATACAGCATTGCATATAAAACTTAATACAGCGTTGCATACACAACTTAATACAGTATTGCATATAAACCTTAATACAGAATTGCATACACACCTTAAAACACCATTGCATA